AAGCAGAATGTTGTGTGTCACTCGTGCGGCAAGAAAGGTCACTATCAAAGCGAGTGCTGGTACCGTGTCCAGCAAGTCCAGAATGCCGGTAGTGATGCAGCCAGCACAGTTGCGCCCAGCACAGTTGGTCCGTCTGCCTCGCAGGTTCAAGGTCTGAATCCTGCCAAGAATGTGAATCGTGTGCAGCTTGAGTCGTCAGTTGAGATTGACATGACCGAGGAAGAGTTGTCCATCCAGTAGTTTGACGTGCCTGCAAGTGTTCGAGCAGTCAAGTGCGCAGGTGCCGACGAGGAAAGATGTGTGGGAGGCCATGCAGCCCAGGGTTTGTTGGACTTTGGTGACCTCGTGAAGGTCCTAGCCCTTAACCCGCACGGGTACCCTAAGCTTCCCAATCTTCAGCCGGTGACCACACCCGTGTGCCATGATCTTGCATGCACAGATTGCGATAGCGAGTGGACAATCTGTCACGGCGAATCTCTTGATTTGCAATGCGCTGCACCCTACAATGCTAGAGAGCCTTACCCTGAAGAGTTGCCCGACCTTGCAGAAGCCATCGAGGCCTTAGATGCAGCCACAGCGGCCAGAAGTTTGTGTGCCGTGCAGCGTTCCTGCGGCGCGACAGCGCACACCGAGCCGGTTGACATCGAAGTCGTGGTGGTTTCAGGGTCCGATGCTTCTTGCTTGCCAATGCTGGGGAACGATTGGGCAATCCGGAGGTGCCGACTCCCAGTGGTACCGCGATGCCCAAGGAAACCGCATTTCAGGCCGAGAGATGCGCACGGCCACGATTGAGATTGCTGGGGTAAAGTTCAGTGAGCACTGCCTGCTTTCGAGTGTTACCCAGCCTCTCTTTTGTGTCGGCAAGCTTATGAAGCGACACGATTGGGACATTATCCGTTATGCTGACAGGGCTCCGCACCTCACGAGCCCTGATGCTAGAGTCCGCGTCCCACTGTTTTACAAGAACTACAGCTTGCATGCAAAAGGTTTCATCCGAGGAGTCACGGCATCCGAGGACGATGGTCAGCCAGGCATCAGAGCACTTGCGGTTTCAGGCCCATGGCTTGAGCTGTCTGAGGAATTTCATGAAGTTGCTCCTCTTGTGTATGCCCGGCGGGACTTCAGCGATTGCTTCGTTGATTGTTCAGTGGCATTGTCGGTGCCTCACTTGAGCCTTGGAGTGCAGTACCGCACGACGCTTGAGCAAGACGGCGCAAGTTGGAATGTCATCGAGTTGAATCAGGATTTGTCTTTGCTTGAACAGCCCGAAGCTGAGTTTGAGCCGAAGCAAACGCAGCATGTGATCACTATTGCGTCTTGCGACAAGATTGATGTTGATGTGCTGTTTAATCAGCGTGCAGTCGGCCCCCCAGAGGTCGAGCAGGATGCAAACATGTCCGAAGCAGGGCTTCCTGAGCTCCCTGCTGATTCCCTTGATGAAATGCTTGAAGATGCGCCGGCCGGAGGGATTGGAGAGGTTGACCCAGGTGAAGCCCCCATCGAGGCCGACGAAAGTGCAGCGCCGGACGACTCAGAGCCCGCCAGAGGCCACATCGTTGTCGATGGAGTCGAGCTGCATGAAGGTTGCAATCTTAAGACATTGCTTGCTGCGTACAAAGCCCTAGGCATAGGCCAGAGCGGCGGCAAAGCCACGGTGTTGTCGAGGATAGCCAGCAGCCATCTTGACAAGCTTAAGTTGCTGGAACGTCACCAAGTCCAGCATGATTCAATTGCCTTGCAAAGCGAGCCGCGTCAGCAAGCTCCCGTAGCTGCTCCGACGCCCGAGCAAATCAGATTGCACTGCCTGAATCACATCCCGTACCAGCCGTGGTGTGAGCACTGCATCAAGTTCCAGGCCCGTGCTGACAAGCACACACAAGCCAGGCCCGAGACCAGACAGTGCAGCGTGTGTTCATTTGATTATTGCTTCACTGAGAGGCCTGATGGCGAACGCGGGGAAAAGCTTATTTGCTTAGTTGGTTCGGTAGCTTTTCGGTTTCTAGTTGCCGAGCTTTGCAAGTTCATCAGCTTTTGCGGTCATTCCGAAGTCACCCTGCGATCTGACGGCGAGCCTACTTGCCGAACGCTGCAACAGGGTGTAAAGGACTTTAGGGATAAGCTTAAGCTTGTTACGCACCTTGAGCAAGTCGAGAAGGACAGCCATGAAGGCAATCCAGCAGAGCAGGCAGTTGAGCAGCTCAGACAGTTGACCGGGACACTTTTGTCCCAGGTCGAACATGAAATGGGCCATAAAATTTCAACGATGTCCCCGATTCACGCGTGGGCTTGGAAGCATGCAGCATGGTTGCACACCAGGTATGTCGGACCGAAGCGCACAGCCCCTTCGAGATTATGGCAGACCATATCTTGGCAAGCTAGTGAATTTCTGCGAAGTTGTGTATGCCAGGGTGAAGTCTTCAATCAAAGGGAAAGCCCGATGGGTCAAGATGATTTCGCTTGGAAAGCTTGGAATTTCAGATTTGCATTTTGGGGCCACCCAGGGAGGTTTTCTGATTTCCAGCCGGAGTGTGCGGAGGTGGCCTAAGCAATTTGACGCGAGTTTTCTTGAGTACGTTCACGACATGCCTTGGACACAAGCCTCGTTCCTGGCGGGGCAGTCAGGGCAGTCTAGGCTCCAGAAGTCGATTGCAGGCAAGAGTGAGGAAACAGCCGACCAAGCCAAGTTGCCGGAAGTCGTTGCCAATGATGGGCCGAGGCCCGTGCTGCGTCCCGAGCCTCTTGTGCCAGATGACACTGCTTTGTCTGCATTTCTTCCGCCACCTCCACTGCTGATTTCGCCAGAGCCTCCGACCCCTTTGCGAGTGAACCCTTTGCTTGGCCGAGCCACTGAGCCTGCCACACCGGCCGATATGCTTCCTGCATTGTCACCTGTTCCGGAGTCCCCAGCGCCGATGCTGGTTGAAGAGAGTGCAAGCGCTGGCGGGGATGCGCCATTACCACCTCCTGCCGCAAGCAGCAGCGATGGATCTGCTGCCAGCACTGGCGGAACAGTTCGCCCGGCACCTGTGCAGGCCGAGCCACCGGCCAGAAAGCGACTGAGGCTAGATGCTGTTCAGACAGATGCAAGCGGAAATCAGTTGTTTTATCAAGATGAAGAGGTTGTCCTTGAAGGTGAGGTAGCCGAAGAATATCTTGAATGTGCTGATGCAGCTGATTGGGTTGAGTATGAAAGTGAAGCCGAGCTTGAAGTACCATCTTGTGTGATTAGGCCATTTTCTGAAAGTGAACCAATTTGCAGCCCTGCAGAACTTGATGAAATAGATGCTGTAGCAGATGCGTTTGAGTTTCAGCGGCTGTCTGGAATTGGGGTCATGAGTGAAGTGCCTGATCGACTTGAAGGCCACCGGACGCTTACGACCAAAAGCGTGCGGACATGCAGGCCGAAGGTCTACAAAGGATCGAAACTTTGGCTGAGGCGTTTGCGCCTAGTTGCGCGGGAGTATGCACACTTAGATCCCGATAGGCCTGGGTTGTTTTGCCCAACAACGAACCAGTTATGCTGCGTGTGATTCCAGCGCTCTTTTTGAGACGCCGTGAGGAAGGCTGGTCGATGCTAGCACTCGATGTGAGCGATGCTTTTCTCCAGTGCAGCCAGCAGCACCCTACAGTCACCCGCATAGGTGATAAGTGGTTCAAGTTGTGGCGGATGCTCCCTGGACAACGGGACGGAAGTGTGACATGGTATAATGATTTCACGAATGAAATGAAGGTCGTTGTCGGAGTTGAATTGCTTCCGGAAAGCCCCGCATTGTTCAGGCTTCCCAGTGGAGGCTATGTGCATGTGGACGACATGCTGGCCGCCGGCCAGACTGAAAGGTTGCAGGTTCTTGAAAGTCACTTGAAGTCAAAGTTTAAGGTGTCTAGCGAGTAGATTGAGCACATAGGAGATCAAGTATCTTTCTTGAAAAGGCGCCACATCCTTGTAAGCCCCACTTTGCTAGTGATAGAGCCTGACATCAAATACCTTGATCGCCTCATGCAAGTCACCGGGTTAGCAAATGCAAAGGAAAGGTACAAAGCAGCTCCGTTCCCGACCGGAGGTCTGCCCACTGAGCTCGCATCTGATCGTGAGTTAGATGCAGCCACCGTCAGCCGGTATCGCTCAGGTGTCGGTATCCTCGCTTATATGTCTTCAGACCTTGTGGCGTGTCAATTCGCGATTCGATACCTGACTACCTATTCTCACTCGCCCACTGAAGGATCATGGAAGTTGTTGCGGCATGTTGCATCGACATCAACTGCCACCGCAACCATGTGATCGGGCTCTCGAAGCCTGTGTCCGGCAAAGGCTTTGTCTGCGACAGGTCCCGCGAGGAGAATACGACCGTGCTTGAAGTTTGTTCAGAATTGGACTGGAGCGGCTGCAAACGAACAAGGAGTCCGTTGAGCTCTTGTGCGATTCTTTGGGACAACATGTTGCTATATGCACATAGCAAAACCCAGCTTGAGCAGTGCAGAATCGGAACACAATTCCCTTGTGTCCGCTGCAGCAGAAGGAACTTTCTTGCGACAGGGAGTTGGGAAAATGCGCCAGGGCACGACATAGGTATTCCAGAGATCGGCTGCGAGCAACATGTACAAACAAAGGGAGTCAAAGGCCATATGACGCACCGCAGCCTGAAAGTTGTCCGTCCAGCCGTTCCACTGCTCGTTCTGCGAGGAATTCAGAGAGGCCAACTCGGGATGCACCGCCATGCGAACGCAGGGGTCGAACAAGCGATGACCGGGGCGCAAGCAAGCTTTGTGTCCTTTCTCGTGAAAGCGATCGAGAACAAAGGTCATCTGCGCGATTTGGTGCGCAATAGTAGAAGGCAGGCGCCTGACTGTATTGTTAACAAAGCGACGGAACATGCAGGCATTGTCATACACCACATAATCAAGCTGACGATGAGCGCGGATGTCTCCAAGCATTCCGTAGATTTGCGTTGCAGACTCGAAGCCAGCGCATGGAGAAATTAATATGACACACGGTTCCGCAGGCAAGAACCAACGTCAGCACGCCGCCACTGCGACGGGAGCCAAGGGCGGCCGGGCTTTGGCAAGGCCACAGCCATCAAACTGCGTTCAGCCGCAGACAGTGCCGCAGCAGGACAAGCTTGCGGCTCGGCTGGCGGCGCTTCCGGCCGCGCACGACGAAGGGCACCTTGCAAGAGAGGCACACGTCGAACACGCAGCCAACGGGACAGCTCCAGATAGCGCTCTGCGGCGGAAGCACTCGAGAACAAATATCGCAACTGTACTGCAGCACTGCACCACTCGGAACCACTGCGGAGCAGAGGGCATGTTCATTTGGGCACAGGGGCTCGGCGGCCTCTTCGGCATGCACGCGAACGGCATGCTGCGCGCAAAATGGAGACCGCGGACAAGGCGTAGCGGTGCATCCGTGGTGACAGCCACACGCCGCTAGAACATCCAAGCATGAAAACAGCGTCCAGCCAAGTCCAGCGACAGACAGCGAGCGACAGAAACTCCAGCAAGCGTGTTTCGATGAAAAGAAGGGCAACTCTGCAGCCGAGGCGTCTGCGTGACGAGGTTGCGTCCAACACAAAGCCACACACGCGCGGAGATATGCACACATGCAGAAGCCTGGCATTGTATCAAGAACGCCATGTCACCGACATGGTGTAAGTTGCAGCGAGAACAAGATGCCACGAAGACCAAGCAGATGACGCTAGAATGAGCAAGCATACCACCTTGACGGACGGGGTCCGATGCAAGGCAACTCCCACAGGAAGAACAACCATTTTGCAGCTGTTCCAGATCTGACCGATCGAATCAATGCCAGCAATGCTCAGAATTGCGCATTATGAGCACTGCTTTAAGTACTGCCGTTGCAAGACTTAAAACCTTGATTGAGTCTTGCCAAGCGTTCCACATGTCCGCCTGTGATGAGATGACTTGCCTCTTGGTTTGATAACCTGTGCAAGTTGCTTGCCTACTCATTGATAACGTGCCTTGGAGGCAAGTGATTGCTTTCGGCATTGCACTGGCACCTTGAACAGCTTGTGTTGCTTGAAGCATATGATTCGGTGCAGCCAGACAATTGTGAAACTACTCCGAACAAGTGGTCTGCAATCCCATCGCAGCGATCTTTTTTGCATATTTTGGAAGACTGAGACGGCACGGCTTGGAAATACAAACAAGCAACTAAAAAATGAAAAGCGGTGGCTCTACAAGAGCTGCGGCGCACAGACTTTTCCCGGTGTCGTTCAACCCATCGACGGAGCCTCAGCGACCGATCAGAAGCAACAAAGAGCCGTCGTCCAGAGCTGCCCACAGGTGGAGCCAAGACCAAGCTCCGCCGCCGTTCTAGTCTCGTCAAGACAACAGGCAGTCTCTGCGCTTTGTTTCGTCACAGTCGAGCAAAAGTCCATATCGGTGCTCGAGTCGTTGCGACATAAAGCCGGCCAGAAATGGCCGTAACCCAGGATCGAGACAGACGATCCACCGTGTGTGCAATTCGGTCGTGTACTGGGAACGGCGAAGCCAGAATTGCTTTCGTTTCGTGGGCCCAGAAACGGGGTCGTCCGCAGCATCATTTCTTGGGCTCATCCTGCTTCTATGTCCACTGGAGATCAGTGTCAGTTTGCAATGTCATCGAGGTATCTCGAGGATCTTTTTAAGCCAATCGAGATCTTTGACGTTTATTAGGATGCATCGCTGCGACACGATCATCGAAGCTCCTGTCTAGGATTGCCAAGATCTATGGCTCTATGGAGTCAGCAATAGCCAATAGCTTGCAAGATCATCGAAGCTTGTTGAAGCCTTTTTCTAGCTCCAGCAAGTGGACTTGGAGCCAGCTCCGGCTTAGAATTCTCTGTAGTAAAGAAAGAAGAAAGGCAGCCCACGTGTTCGTTCAAGTCCGAGGCTTCTGGTGACCGGTCACAAGGTCGCGCTTTTTGCGAGGAGTCCCAACCGGGTCCCACCGGGCCCATCCAAGTCCCACCTTCTGCGTCACCGAATCCCGTTTTTTTGCTCGCCGGGTCTTATCCGGGTGTCACCGGGTCCCATGTTTCCCACACAAGAAGTTTCATCTGGTTGTCACATGTCCCATACTTTGCTAGCCAGATCGAATCCGGGTCCCACCGGGTCCCACCGGGTCCCATCCGGGTCCCACCTGGGTCCACCCGGGTCCCATTTTTCTAGGGCCGGGTCCCACACCCCGTTTAGGTTTTAAAAGTTTAAATGAACGGCGAGGCGGGACCCATGCACGGTTTTTGTGCATGGAGCTGCCTTTAGCATTGTAGTCCAGGTCATGTCCTAAACGGTGTCAACACTTCTTCAGCAAGCATGCATGAATCAAAGCATGCTCTCGCGAAGCTCGCACTGCTTCAGCAGTTGAGGCACTCTCGTTTGCCGTGTGCTTTCCGAAAGTGGAGAAACGAGATAGAGAAGATTAGCATGGCCCCTGCGCAAGGATGACACGCGCAAGCCGAGAAATCTACCAACGTGAAGCACAAGATAACAGGGACAGCTGCAAGCTGCAGGAACTACAGACCAAAAGAGTGCAGAGACTACGGTAAGATTGTAAGCTCCGAACCCACAAGGCTTTGGAAGGCTTCAAGTTTCTGTCTCGAAACCCCACAAATGACGGTTCAAGAGGCTTTGCACTGTTGGTGAAATCGCAAGCTTCGCGACTCCAAATGTAGGGCTGGAAAAGTCCAGCAATTCTGGCTTCGCTTGAGCGTGCCTCCCCTGTGCCCGTTTCTTTCATGTTGATTCAATGTACTTCTATAAGAAAGCAAGGCTCGGCTTGGAAGCCTTTATCCTGAAAGCTTGTTTTTTTCCAAGCTGGACGCGCGCCTGTGCACCACAGTCGCCTGTTGTATTTAATGAGGCCGGGCGCTGTCGCAGCCCTGTTTTCGGGGCCGCGAAACGGCCCCATTTTTGGGGTCGCAAATCGCAAATGTTCGGAGCCAACTTGCTGGATCTCGGGCGTGCGCCTGCCTGCCTTTGTTCCCGCTGTTTTGGGCATCATGCAGACGCAAGATTGAAAAGCCAGAAGTCTTGTCGAAAGCAGCTGCACGCTCACGTCAAATGCCACAACCAGCGGATTTGCAACTGGGGAGGCCCATTGCGGCGAAGCCAGATTGCTTTCGTTTCGTGTCGTCCGCAGCATCATTTCTTGGGCTCATCCTGCTTCTATATCCACTGGAGATCAGTGTCAGTTTGCAATGTCATCGAGGTATCTCGAGGATCTTTTTAAGCCAATCGAGATCTTTGACGTTTATTAGGATGCATCGCTGCGACACGATCATCGAAGCTCCTGTCCAGGATTGCCAAGATGTATGGCTCTATGGAGTCAGCAATAGCCAATAGCTTGCAAGATCATCGAAGCTTGTTGAAGCCTTTTTTCTAGCTCCAGCAAGTGGACTTGGAGCCAGCTCCGGCTTAGTTTGTTGCGCGGAGATGTGGCAGAATTTGCTGAGCAACAAAATCCTTTGAAGCGCCCTGCGATGTTGTCCGTCCGTGCTGAGACGCAAGACCTCCGAAGGTCGAGGTTTGTGACAGCGGATGCAACCTGCGCAAAGAGACATGCAACCAAAAAGCAATTCATTGGTCTTGATACCTTTTTTTAAGATGTGGCTACAATCATCTTCTTATCCAAGCATTGGAAAGAATGGTGTTTGCTTGCAAAAGTTTTGAAAAAAAACGATTTGACGCTCGCACAGACTCAGAGAGCAAAAAGACAGGAACTGTTAGAACTCCTCAGCAAAGGACGAACTGCAAAGAGTTGTAAGCCCAACATGCAGAATTCCAAGAACGCTGAGCCACCTGTGTCGCGATTTTTGCACTTGAGCATCCAGTGCGTCTTACAGCGCAGCAGTACGTGCCGATGATGCTTGCTTTGTCAGCTTGACCAAAGCTTTCGTTTCCTTTCTTCCCATTCGCACTGTCTCTGTTCCAGCAAGGCGCAGTCTTGAGGGCTTTGACAGTGTGGGCAAAACTCCCCCTCAGTTGCCCTGAATGGGGTTTTGAGACAGAAACTCGAAGCCTTCCAAAGCCTTCCTTGTGGGTTCGGAGCTTACAATCTTACCGTAGTCTCTGCACTCTTCTGGTCTGTAGTTCCTGCAGCTTGCAGCTGTCCCTGTTATCTTGTGCTTCACGTTGGTAGATTTCTCGGCTTGCGCGTGTCATCCTTGCGCAGGGGCCATGCTAATCTTCTCTATCTCGTTTCTCCACCTTCGGAAAGCACACGGCAAACGAGAGTGCCTCAACTGCTGAAGCAGTGCGAGCTTCGCGAGAGCATGCTTTGATTCATGCATGCTTTCACTGAAGAAGTGTTGACACCGTTTGGGACATGACCTGGACTACAATGCTAAAGGCAGCTCCATGCACAAAAACCGTGCATGGGTCCCGCCTCGCCGTTCATTTAAACTTTTAAAACCTAAACGGGGTGTGGGACCCGGCCCTAGAAAAATGGGACCCGGGTGGACCCAGGTGGGACCCGGATGGGACCCGGTGGGACCCGGTGGGACCCGGATTCGATCTGGCTAGCAAAGTATGGGACATGTGACAACCAGATGAAACTTCTTGTGTGGGAAACATGGGACCCGGTGACACCCGGATAAGACCCGGCGAGCAAAAAAACGGGATTCGGTGACGCAGAAGGTGGGACTTGGATGGGCCCGGTGGGACCCGGTTGGGACTCCTCGCAAAAAGCGCGACCTTGTGACCGGTCACCAGAAGCCTCGGACCTGAACGAACACGTGGGCTGCCTTTCTTCTTTCTTTACTACAGAGAATGACCCGTGCCACCCCCTTTCCAACACAGATCCGTGTATTTTCTGATTTCGGAGAGGATTCTGCGCCTGTTTGGAAAAAGTGTCATTTGATCTTTGGTGTTTTTCGGTCTGCCTTAAATGTTAGAAGCTTGCACATCTTGTTTGTCCGCTTTGGCTTTGTGCCGAGATCCAACATATTTCAGCTATCGGAATCCACTTGTCATCTGCCAAAGCCAAAGAAGTTTTCCACTGATATGAGCATTCCACTTCATCCTCCGCCAAACTTAGAGTTCCGAACCTAGGTTTTTGGAACTCGAAACTGAGTTCGAAGCCTTGAATCCAGGGTTCGAAGATCGAAGTTCCGGCGCAAGCGTCAAAAGCTGCAGATGTTCTGGATTCTGTGCAGTGCCAGAGTGCGCAAGCTCTGCCGACGCTCTCTAGAGGCGAGTTCTGCTCGAGTAACCGCCGCACGCTTCTGGAAACTGCTATCGAAGGGGACACTGGACATTCGTGTTGGTCTGCAACGCGGCTCTGCAGCACTTCCGCCTTCTCCTTCGCTGTTATCTTCAGCAGTGCTCTGCTGCACTGAAACAAGCTCTGCTCGCTGTGGAGACTGCGTGGTAGAACATGCCTGCCGAACTTTCGTCTCTGCTCCTAGAAGCCAATCCACTATCTTCTGTCGT